CACACACACACACACACACACCTTTCTTTCCTTCTTTTCTCCGTTCCTACAAAAGTGCATCAACACAACGTGGCTGCACACTGCAGGCTGCCTGTGTCTACTGCATCTATGAAATTCACATACACACAATCTCTGCTACCACTCCAACTCTCAACACTTCCTTACACTGACAATACTCACGCAATCACCACTGATTTTCCCATTATCTATAAGTTAGCTGCAGTGATGAACCGTTTTTCCAATGGTGCTGGCAAGTGGTGAGACATCCAATGCTTGAGTATCACGCTTAGACTCATCTGAACAGCCAGTGATCCACGTATGAAAAAAAGGCAAGGGGCATTATAACTTTCTCATTGTGTCCAATTTCAGTTCTGTTGCTAGGCAACAGCAATAAGGGTGGGACGAGCATAGAAATCCTCTATAGACCAGACCGTCTCATTCCGTTTCGGCCTTTGCATTCTACGAAGGAAACGGTTTTCGTACGCACACACCAGTTCCTTTTGATAATGAAGCAGCATCACTGCAGTTTTCACCGTTTCTCTTTACTGTTGTTCTTTTTTACCCTTTTTCTTTCTCTATCTACCTTTGAATCCATCACTCTCCTAATCGCCAACTCTCTCCCTATATCTCTCTCTCTTTGTCGCTGCCCGTTGACTTCTCATTCGTCATTTCTCTTCCTCTGCTCTCCATCCAGGCCCAGGACTTCTATGTGGAGATGAAATGGGAGTTTACCAGCTGGGGTGAGTCCAGAGTCTTTGTTCAGTGAGTAAAACGGTCCAGTGATGACCAGTCACATCTAATCGCATAATCGTCTCCCTCTGGAGCTACAGAGGCCAGTTCCTTCCTGTTGTACCTGACACTGATGCTCACATACTTCCTGCCCAGCAGAATGTAAACAACTTTTTATTCAAGACCACAAGTGGATGAGTTTTCAGCATGAGTCTCTATACTGATACATTGCACAGCTTGTATATAGGATATTATTCTTATATGTGGTATAGTGAAATCAGAGTAAAGCAGCTGGATTAAATATGGTACATGTCACTTAGGATAAACAAAAACGTGCTTCCAATCTATCTTATGTCATTTCTTAGTGCCCCTGGTGTCCCGCATCTGCCCCAGCGACACCTACAGAGTTTGGAAGAGCGGTCAGTGTCTCCGTGTTGACACCACCCTGATGGGCTTTGAACAGATGACCTGGCAGAGAGGAAACCGGAGCTTTATTTTCAGAGGACAAGGTCAGAGCTCACTGTGTGAGCGTGTGTGTGACTGTGCTGTCAGGATGCATTTAGTTCTAAAGCGCATGGACCAGTATTTAATACAACAAAATAAATCAATACAGGCTGATTTATGAAGGCAGTTGCCAAACAAGAAGGAATAGTTTTACATATTAGAAAATATACTTTTTTGTTTTCTTGCACAGAGTTTGAGTAATTGAGGACTTCGGAAGTCACATATAATCCAACACACACAATCAATACATGTATTGTATTTTACCTCTTTACCAAAAAAAAGAAAAAAGAAATCAGAGTCAATGTGCTAATGAATGAGCTTCAGGGGTGACGCTACAGGCAAAATGTGTAGGAAATACTCATCAGTGAAAATCTTTGTGCTAAGCAAACATGCTGCGTGCTGAGTGGTATGAATCTGCTCATTTAATTCTCTGCAAGAAAGTAGCATCTATACCTTTCCCAAGAAAAAAGGAACACATATTTGGAAGACATATCTCAAGAACCGTTCATCTTATCAGCTTCACACTCGTGAAACTCTAATCTGCCTCTGTTTTACTCACATTATTCTCCTGTCTGCCACTCTCTCGTCTCCCAGACTCCAGTGCAGAAGTGATGGAGGTTGACCATGACAGGCAGCTGGTGTACTGCGAGACCCTGTGTGTCTCATCTCTCACAGCGCTCTCACCCGGCCGGGGGAACGGAGGCGCCTGCAGCAGCAATACTGCCAGTTTGGGTCTTCTGGGGGCGGTGCAGCCCAGCGACGAGCAGGTAGCAGCCAGGCTGTCTGCACCTGTGGTGACCACTCAGCTGGACACCCGCAACATCGCCTTTGAGAGGTCAGACACAACACTTTCTCATAAAAACAGCCTGTAAGACTTAGGCTGTGAATCAAGCAATCTCTCATGTCTCTTCATGAAACTTTAGCATCATAAAACAAATTTAAAATTAAAAGGGAAATATATCCATACTTGCTATGTATCTGTGATCCTATTTTATTATTTACTATGCATTTTTTCTGTGATGGGTCATGAAATATAAAACATCAGGAGGTGCCGTCACACCCAACACGACGCACCAAAACATCCTGAACTAGGGCTTCTTTCCAGTCCCACCATTTTGTGCTATTATTTAACAATCAGAGTTAGACAGCTGTTTCTCCTCCAGCACTTGCCTCACTGCAGAGCGTCACAATTCAGCCACAGAACATGTTCTGCTCTGAGTGCTGTTGTTACTGTTGAATGTTTCTTACGCTGTCACTGTCTCCAACACTACAACCCACAGTTGAGTGAAACAAGTTCAGGCATGTTCTCCACTGGCTATCCAAATACATTGCACCTTGTTGCGCATTTGGAGCAAGAGTCTGTGCAATACGATGGAGGGATTCTGCAGACAGCCAGCAGGTTGCGATCGAGCCGCTTTGGCTAAAAAGCCCAACTTTATTGTCAATTCTTCCATATGTACAGGGAACTGCCATTTCTCTCTAATCCCTGGTGTAAACATATAAGTAGACAGGACATATAATTACAGAACATATTAAGTACTCATAATATAGTACATCATATTATATGCATTCAAAAGGAACACGATGTGGAGGTAGTGACAAACAAATTAGCTTCAGGCTTTGTGAATTAGACTCACACCACTTCACAAAAATCTCAACTCTTCAATTCAAGTCAGAAGCACCAGTGAACAAAAAGAGAGGCAGACTAGATACAAGGTGACGAGAGGAAAGAACAAATGGAAGAGAACGGAGAATAGCAGCAGCAGAAGAAAATGGGAAGCAGGTGGCTTGTACGCTGTCAATTCAGGAACTGTTTAATATGCAAACAGTAGAGTTTTATTTCTCAGTTTCACATAAAGTGACACTGACACATAGATGTGGAAGGAGGTGAGAATGGAGGGGAGGTGGGGGCGATGAGGACAAAACTCATCTTATTCCGGTCAGGAGGTGGGATAAGACTGATGTGACAGAAAGAGAGAGGGGGATAGCGTTTTGGACAGAGAGGGATGGAGAAAAGAAAATGGTTTAAGAGGAAGGAGAAAAGGGGATTAAAGAAATATAGGATTGAGGTAGAGAAAGAGGAGAAGGGAATAGAACACATTCAGTGAGAAACAGCGAGAGAAAGATGAATGGGACTCGAGAAGAGGGGGGATAAAAGACTCTGTGAGCCAAAACAGTGATGGGTAGAGATGCGGGGACAGGAAGTGAATGTTAACAGATAAAAAAAAGTGAGTGACGAAGGAGAATGACTCACAGAAGTAAGCAGGGAGAGGCGGTGGCCGGGTGTGCAATCATCTCCCTGTCAGACTTGTACCTCAGTGTCACCTCTGTGCATTTTCCTTGCTCAGCACTCCTTTCTACATGCCAATAATCTATTTATGATGCTTTACAGCAAAGCACTTTGTCAACGACCCTGGCAGCACATCCACCTCTGGAGTTAACACGTCTTTACACAGCCTCGCACAAAAATGATAGCGCTGCAGTTCTGCAGTGTTAGGGTCGGGTTAAAACAAGTACAAAGTTTAGAATCCTCAGAAATTGAGACATAACTTCATGTGAGTATCTATGGCCACGGTAATGAGCTGAAACTCTACAGCGCCCACTAGGGATGATGAGATGCCTGTACAAGAAGTTTACTCTGATTATGAGTTTATACATTTGGTCATGAAACATTTATCCATTCACATTTACAACTAAGCAATCTATACGTCTTATCCTTCGAGGGGGAACAGGGGGAACTGGGGCCAGTCGCGGCTGACATTGGCTGAGAGGTGGGGTACATCCTGGACAGATTGCCAGCATCTCGCAGGTCCGACATACAGAGACAAACAACCATTCGGACTCACGTTCACAGCGACAGTCTTCAATTAACCTAACCTCACTCTGCATGTATTTGGAACCTTTGCAAATATGAGGAGAAAATGCAAACTCCACACAGGAAGACCCTGTCTGAACCAGGATATGAACCAGGAACCATGTTGCAGTGAGAAATCTTTGCTAACCACCACCACCCCTTGTTCAAAGTGGTTACATGTTTGAAATTTGTTAGAAATACCTAATGTTATTTCAGAAATACTATAAATTTAAAAGTATAGGGGCCTAAATAAGGGGAAACACAGTGTATAAGTGTTGTTGTGTGGTCCAGAAGGAGTTCAGTGAATGCATCATGAAGATGGGATATGCCTCACTAGCTTCTGGGTGGACTTCTTGATTACAGACTGAACAACTGATCTACTAACAACAGACAGGGACAATGGCTTCAATGTTTACAGGCTGTATATCTTATAAAGGAAAAGTCAGAGGGACTGTGTGTCATGTTAATGCATTGCTTGGTTCAGGGTGATAATCCTACTGTGATGGAAAGTGGAACAGAGAGGAGCACACGGAGGACTGCTCTGACATGTGTTGAATCTGTGTTGCAGGAATAAGACGGGTATCCTGGGCTGGAGAAGTGAGAAGACTGAAACAGTGAATGGATATGAAGCAAAGGTAGAGAACCAGGCTGCTGCGACAGCTGACTGATCTGTCACAGTGTCCAGAGAAAACACTGCTGTCACTCGTCAGTTTGATATTTCCTGAAAGTCCACTTCACATGAATAGTTTTACTTCCAAAATAAATAACCTCCCAAAGTTATTTTAAAACCACGACTGTATACAGTCCAGAACATGACCTTCTACATTTTGAAATGATGACAGATGGATTTCGGGAACCTGTCAGGTTAAGATGATATAACAATTAAGCAAAAGCCCTTTAACCTCAGATCAGGAAAATTCTCAACATGTGAAACACCAGATGGCCTCAATTCTAATTTAAAAAACAAGTCCATCTATCATAAACACTTGCAATGCTTTAACCCCATTTGTTTTCTTTGAGCCCCTGGAGGGATTGATTGGAGACAAGTGTCAGACACACTGGACCATCTGTCTCTAGTGGTTTAAAAGCACTTCAGACAAGCTCTGCACTGAAATACTGCTGCCTGGAAAGCATCTATTTTCTGCATCATTGATTTGGAGCTTTAAACATAAACAGACAAATCCTGTTGAGGGGGTCTCCTCCCGCACACTTTTTCCCTCCTCCTTTCCCTCCTCCTTTCCCTCCTCTGTCTCCTTGTGTAAACTCACAATCAGCATCCTGCTCAATTTTTAATCAGTATTTTCTTTTTATGGTCATGAGTGAGGAATTATTGTTCTGTACTGTGGAATGTAACTTAAAGAAGTTGGCCTGCCTTCTGCAGACAATTCATGGCTTGGTTTATTTGTTTTTAGGGTCACACGTCTTCCCACTGGTCATTTGTAGAGTAAAAATGAAGGCACACACCAAGCAACACCATGCATTTTCTTTACCTAAAAAAAGCAGCTTCAAAATTAGTTTGATGGGTCACTGACTTGGAATATGGAAAAAGGTCTCTCTGTTCACCCCCACCCCCTGAACGTCTGTTCTTGCTATACATGTGTGTAACTCAGGTGAATAGTGGGAATGAAATCAGTGAAACCGAAACCAACTACAGTTTTTTCTATGGTCCTACGGTCTCTTTTTGGGTCCTGTGTCTTCTTTGTACTCAACATTGTCGTTTCAGTCTTTAATACTTAAATGACTTTTCCACATTTTCTGAGAACTGCTTCTAATCACAGATACATCACATCTGTTTTGGCTCTGAAGATATAGACCCCACCCTAACCCCAGCTCTAAAACATGGTTTGGTGCTATAAATTTTAATTGGCCTTCTATCTGTAATTAGTGTGAACCGAACTTGCTATAAAACGCTACCCCTCCTAAATCCAAAATATGTCTACAGGGATTTCTGAGGTTTATAGCAGTTTGCTGATAATAGAGGCAGGGAGTTTGACCTCTATGAGGTCGAACTGAGTTACATCTCAATGTAGGAAAACATTACTTTACATTTCAGCGCTGAGAAAAAAGTAAAACGTGGCAGCAAGAATTGCCAGATACTGTCACATTACCATTGAAAACCTTTAGTCATGCTGCAGTTTAAAAGAAAACACATTCATCAGTACGATGTATATTTTCTTTTCTAACATAGAAGTCAATGTAATTTAATATTAAGGACCATAAAGCAGATGAATATTCCTGTGAGAAGTAGGAAGGAAGTAAAGCCGATAGATTAACTGTTTCCTTCTCTTCAAGGTTTATGCTGCATCCAATGTGGAGCTGATCACCAGGACCAGAACTGATCATCTGTCTGACCAGAACAAGAACAAGACTAAAGGTGAGTCGCCTTATTTGACTACTATATATATTTGAGTATTTACTGAACTGAATAAAGGCTCTGTAGTTGTGCTCGGTATAAAGCAGTAGAGCAACGAAACAAACATGCTTTTACTTTGAAGAGGAAATGATTCTATGAATATTGCTACCTTGACAGATATCAGCACCTGTGAATGTCTGTATCAGTCCGATATGGTGAAATTAAACTTATCAAATTATCAAGATGATTTCGCTGCTGAACCACTGAACACTGCCCCGCCCCCCCCCCACTGACTGCTACAGAGCGCTGGTTGCTCGATTAGTTCATTTTTATCAATGTTGAATTATTGCATGTCCGAATCAAACCAAATTTAACTCTGCGCTTTCTCAGACAATTTCCAAAACACATGCCAAGTGGGAGGCTGATTAGATGAATGGTTTGTGAGATATGCGTTCCACTCGGCTACACATACATCTTGACTCAAACAGCCAATCATCAGGCCAAAGTCAAAATGTGGACTACACCACCGACATGACCAGTAATGAATGAGCCTTCATCACTCTTCCCTTTGTGGCTGGTGAGGACGACGAAGCACCGGAGCTGTCTGAAAAAACAAACCACTAATAAGCTGCTCATATTTCTTCTCTGCTCACATCTCTCATTTCTAAATGAGCAGCCACTCCTTTAATGTGAGTTCTTTAAAAAGACACTGAAATAGTATTTGCTTCCTACTGTGACTGATGGCTCCTGCATGAGAGCAGCTCAGATTTAATTTCCCTTGACATATTTCAGTTTCTTCTCTCGGCTCTCCTCACTGGAGACAATATATTTCCTATACACTTCCTTAAGAAGCAGATTTAAGTACATAAATATTTTTGATAAATAATAGATTTTTCAATTTGTTTTTCAAAAGTTTGATTGTTGCTTATTTATAAAGTCATAAATATTCAATAAAAAATTGCAGCCAAGTTTTCAGGGATGCCAGTGTTTAAACCAAAAAGTTGTGGGTTTGATGAATAATTGATTATTCAAAAGCTTTAACTCCAGAGATTTCTGTTTTAATAAGCACATACAGCCCAACTGTGACGGCTTTGCTTTCTCACATTCATCATATTTTGCACACTCAAACTGTGTTTGACTATTTTGAATAATGTTCACGCTTCATTACCACATGAAAACATTCAGTTTGTAACAATATGTCTTTGCTTATTTTATTTATGTCTTGGCAGATGCAAGACCAGAGCACAAAAGCCTGAGTTAATCAAATAAGTTTGTTTCTAGAGTATTATGACACAGTTGCACAGTTAAGAAAGCCATTCTTCATCAACTCATTTACGAATAGGTGCCAACTTTTTAAGGTTGAAGTAATCAGTATTGTACATTAGCCTGAGTTTATATAACTCATACAAACAGGGATTAATTTGTGTTTTATTGTGTAACAGTTCAATTCTCTCAGTCCAACTCATCACTGTGTGTCTCTGAGCAGGTGGGAAGACGCCGCTGCAGAACTTCCTTGGTATCGCGGAGCAACACATGGGCCCAAACAACGCGGTGAGTCATCACTCGATGTCATCACTTAAAGATCTATCATTTCAGTTTATTGTTTCCTCCACCAAAGAGGTTGTGTTTTCTCCCAGGATTACACAAAAACAACTGAGCAGGGGGGTGTCAAGGGTCAAGGTCACGTTCCTATGAATGTGATATGTGAGGAATGCTCAAAAGAAATTCCTTTACATCTGGCACAATCCACGTGGACTCAAGATTGACCTGATCACAATTTGGTGGTCAAAGGTCAAGTTCACAGTGACCTGTTAAAACAGACATCGTAGTGACAGTAATAATCAGCATCACCGATGTGACCAGCGTGAGCGAATTATCACGTCCACTCTCAGCATCCCGACCCTCACCTCCCCTCTTCAGATGGACACTGAGTGTATGAATCAGGCTGAGTTCACTGGGTCAACAGCAGAGCATGTCTGCAGAGTGAAACATTCACTCCAGCCTGTTCTCGAATATTGATTATGTTTTGGTTAATTTGTTTCTGCTGGTGAGAATCTATGACTCATATCTGCCTCCTACACTTCTCTCTGTATTTTGACTTTCACTCGCTTCCTTCTCGTTGTCCCCTCTTTACATCTTCTTTACTATCTTCTCCCTTCACGTTGTCTCTGTGCAGATAGTTTTGTAATTGCTTTCAGTTTTGCCAAAACCTACATTTTGAAATGAGCTTTTGATGATAATCTGCAACCAGTAGGAAAAGTATTTTGCAGCCTGTACCTCTTCCAGTAATGACATCATTAACAGATTTAATAAAGAAACACACAACAGTTGACAAGTGAGTAGTTAATTAGTGCTGCGACCCAACAGATGCATCTACAGTAATGATGTTAAAGGTCTGGAGTAAAAGAAAAACTGCTTTGTCATTTGTTTTCAAAGTGGGGCTTGAGTGTAAATCTCTCTCTTTCACTGTGCTGTTGAATATGTATTTTTGTTGCACAGCGGAGAATGATAAGACTTTTAAAAGCCGGAAATCTTTGCCACTTAAAGAACCAAACAGCTTTCAGGGGCAATTTGCCATGGGGGGGATGAAACCATCGACCTTCTGGTTAATGGACAACCCTTTCCAAGTCCTGAGTCACAGCTTTTCAAAGTCTGTTAAAAATGTGGTCCAAGAGTTGTTGACATCACTGAGAAACGAATAAACATTCTTTTACAATCAGCTCTCAAAGGTTGCCTTTAATTCAATTTCATTTGTCTAGCGCCAAATCACAAGATTGATTCAGATATATTTTGTAGCAACCCAACAGTTCCCACAACAAACCAGCGCTTCAGCACATCTTGTTTACAGCGTCCCTGTTTCTTCCACACGTGAAAACACTGAAGTAGGAGGTAGAGATAATCGGGCTCAGGCAAAGCACATGAGCAGACAATCACGCTAGAAACCATGGCTACGTTCAGCCCACACAAAACGTAGCAAAACGTTTATACATAAACAGTGTTATGGTGAACACCCTGTTGTAATACACAAGCATTAGAAATATCTGAGGTATATGAAATGGGTTTAAAAGCATATGTAATACAGTCTCTGCCTTTGCCCATATAAGATTGAATTTACTTATGACTATGAGCTTATACCTTCAAATAACTTCATTGTAAAATATTATCACAACAAAAATGTCTTCCACTGATGTGAGCACCAAACAGCAAATACTTACAAATATGGAATGAATCCAAAACGTCTGATAGGTGTGAAATCCATAAAATCTCAAACGTCAGGGCCCAAAAACACAACTTAGTCAAAAACTACAAAAACAACTGGTTAAACTCAGAGAAACTGAGACAAAGAGAAACACACGTTTTAAATGCAAACTCAACAAGACACAGGTGAAGCTATTGGAGGCGGGGCAAGTCATCAACCGAGGAGGTAAAACAGACAACGACAGGAAGTGAAGTAAGAGAGTCACACACTGAAAGAATTTTCAGAATAAATCAGGAAACAGTGATCTCAATGTGCAAACAAAGACAGGAATCAAATAAAGTAAAGCGCTTGGCCCTCAAGAGTTATTACTCAAGGGCAGACTCGTTACATTATGAGCACAGTTTTTTTAATACATCAGGGTTTATTATATACACGTCACTGCAGTTTGAGCAACATCTCTGACACACCCACCTAACGAGAGAAAACGTACCTCAAAGCCCTTAAAAAAAAAAATTCTGAAAGTTTAGGACAAAGCAGAGCCACATCCTGTTATATTGATAAACAATCCTCTCCTGTGCAGATTTTATTTCATTATATGACAGGTGGTTATATAAAGAATGTTAATTTTATTCATTGTTTACTTCCTGCAGGCCCTGGTGACCCAGATGTCGAGTCCTGCGGTGACCAACCCTGCGGCGCTGACGGCTGAGGAATACTTCAACCCCGGCCTGTCACCGACTCAGAGAGACATCGGCCACCAGTGCCAGCTCACCACCAAGACCCAGAGGTGACAGAGACTGACAGGGGAACAGACAGGCAGCCATGCAAACAGTGAAGTCACCTTCCAATCTCACCGCCAAGTGCCAGAGCCGACAGGGCTGACGGACAGAGAATAGGCAGATGCATGCACGCACGCCCGCACACACACACAGGCAGACTAAATTAAGCCATCCATGACAGCTGACCATCAACATCCTGAGACTTACACATAAGAGTTCCTCACTAACACTCTCACATTATGAGAACACTCATGGGCATAATGCATCCCCCATCCCCTAACCCTAAAACCTCAACCCCCAAACAGCCCCATAAAAAGTGGCTCAGAAAGTAAGGACCCACAAAAATATCTCAAAATGTTCTCACTCTGCAAATTCTCGGCTCAAATGGTCGTAACAAACAAACAAACACACACACGCAGGAGTAGATTTTTACAAAGCTGGCAGAGCGTCAGACATTCTGTCTCTGCAGTTTATCACAAATCTGTTGCACAATGACTCATGACAAATCGTCTTTATGTCATGATTTTACAAAAAGAAACAACACAACATTAAGCTGAAGAAACCCTGCAGTGTGCTTTTTAAAACATGAACTCAAAGAGGGATTTAGAAACTGCCTGGGGTCTCCAAATCAAATGAGAGGATCATTTTTGCAGCATCTGTTTTTAAAGTTATTTTTGTAACGTAGCTAATTATAATGCTTTTCGCTGTCGTGCCCATGAATCACATATGAGTATTAAACATTATACTCAACTCACAGATTTGAGTCGTGACATTATCTCTCTTTCACCTGCTAACACCAGCCGTGCGGTCCTCTGCCCTGTGTTTGTCTGGCTGGCCATTGACCTGTCTGTCAGTTTACTTGTTCTGTAGCTCTTAATAAAGAGTGGCAGATGAGGATAAAGTCTTTGAGGTAACAGAGCTGCCTCTCAATCCTGTCATCATTATCCGACAAGTTAAAATATAAGCATTGATTGGCCTCATTGTGAATACGCTTCAGCAGCTTGTCTTTGTTGGCTGATGTGATCGATGTCTTTTGTGTACCTCTGGCCAAAAGAACTAACTGCTGAAATGAGGCCACAAATTGTTACAGTGAAAGTCAGAATCGTATTTGATGAAGCTCACCAATAATCTCTTCCTGCATAACTGCCCAGCGTGTTGACTGCATGTGTTTGTGTCCAGGTTTAAAGCAAAGTTGTGGCTGTGCGAGTCCCATCCTCTGTCCCTGGCAGAGCAAGTGGCGCCCATCATCGATCTCATGGCGATCTCCAACGCCCTGTTTGCCAAGCTGCGGGACTTCATCACTCTGCGCTTGCCGCCTGGTTTCCCAGTCAAAATTGGTGAGCGCCGGGTAGAACAAGAGGGATGAACGGAGGGAGGCTAATAAGGGAGGTTTATAAACAGATACAGAGATGAAGGGAAAGAGAGGAGGACAAACACGGAATAGAAAGGATAGAAGGATCGCACATAACTCCACCAAGGCCCAACAGTGCCCTTATATTCAGTTGCACTAAATTGCACACACTCATAGATATCAGTTCCCTTAATAACTTTTTTCCATCAAGATGCATGAATTATTCCCTGGGAAATCATTAACAATGTCCAAAAATGTTAAAGATATTAAAGAAAGGGATCAGAAAAATTCCTGGATCCACCCTGATGTGCGCAACAAAGTTTTAAGGTTCAGTGTGTAGAATTTAGTGACATCTAGTGGTGATGTTGCATGTTGCAGCTGAATACCCTTCACCTCACCCTTGACTTCCAAACATGAGAGAGAACCTGTGGTCACCTTCAGTTGTCATAAAACTCAAAAGGTTTTAAGTTTATCCTGTCTGGGCTACTGTAAAAACACATGGCGGCCTCCATAGAGAGGACAGGCTCCTGATATAAATATAAAGTTTTTAAATAATAAGGGCTCATTCTAGAGTAAAGAAAACAACAATTTGTACAATTTAGATGAAACACAATAGTGAAAAACATCACTAGGATTGTTTTATATTGAATTTCTGCCAATAGATCCCTTTCACCTAAATCTTACACACTGAACCTTTAATGAGTTTATCCCTGAGCCATTCCACATCATGGTAATCCTGCAAACAACAAAACAAACACAAACAAATGGACAGGGGTGAAAACAGGGACGCAGTAACCAGAGCACTGCAATAAAAATGTCATCTTCCTCGTCTGCTCCGTCTCCACTCCCTGCAGAGATCCCTCTTTACCACATCCTGAACGCCAGGATCACATTCAGCAACCTGAACGGCTGTGAGGAGGGGACGGGTGTCCGGGCTGACAACGAAGTCGGCGTGGAGGGGGACGGGCAGAGAGACAACCCCGGGACAGACACGCCATCTCCGGGCAGCGACTCCTCCAGCGTCTCCAGCTCCAGCTCCAGCTCCACAAGTGAGCACACGCCCCCACACTGTTCTGCTGTATCCCACATCTTTTTCTGACATCTTCTTCCTCAGCTGAAGAATAATACTCTCCCTGTAGAACTCGACAACATTGTTGATTTTTTATTTAAACACGCTGTTGTTGTTAATCTTCACCTCACATGGGCAGTGCCTCAGATAATGGAGTTTACGGATGCTTGATAGAGTTATGAGCAGTGTTTATAATGGGCTCAGAAGGCAAGGTTATGTTCTCCGTGTTGTTTGTAAAATTACGGCTTACACTTTCATCATCACTTGATCACAATCCCAGCAGGCATATTTAAACCTGCAGCCATGTAGAGGGGAAAGATAATTTACCGTGCTGCTGCTCAGAAGGAAATCCTGGATGTTATCTTGCTGAAGTACCCTATCTTCAGTTATTTACACACCGCTGAGTAGAGGATGTATTATGCCAACAACAGTGTGGAGGGAAAATGAGCAATTGCAGCTTTTTCTGTAGTCTCGATTTCTCCTTCCTCTTTCCTTATCCCTCGCTTCTCCTTTAGCCCGTTGTCGTCTCCTCCACTATGAGATAACACTCCTTCCCATCCCTTGCCCTTTGCCTTCCCCCCTGTGTGCTGTAGTGTCGTGTCGAGCCGGAGAGATTCCCCCATGTGTGTTCGAGCCCCCGACTGGATACACCATGCTAGGTGGCAAACAGAGAGACAGCATGAGGGAGGAGGAGGAGGACCTGCTGCAGTTTGCCATACAGCAGAGTCTGCTGGAGGCCGGCTCCGAGTACGACCAGGTGGGCTGATGCTTCTGAGGGGATTAACTTCTTCTGTGAAATTAAAGACAGCTTGAAATAAGACTTTGTTTAATGGATAATTCATCGAGTCTTCCCCCTTCATAAAAGAAAGTTGCAACGTTCAAGGCCTTGATTTCAGACGTATCAGGCTTCTCTTTCAGGCCGACAGATTCTGATGTTGTCAACCATCACTGGCAGATTTGATCACCTAGCTAGTGTTATCTGCATGACTTAATGCCTTATCTGTCTTATAAATCATTCAAAGCTCTTTAAAGCCTCAACACATATAAAAAAATATTTATTTTCATACACTGTCAGCACATCTATCAGGAGGGTTCAGTCCCTTTCCTCAGAAAACTTCCAAAAGGAAGGTATCGAACCAACTTTCTGGTGAGTGGACGGCCCTCTCTATCTCCTGAACCACAGCTACAAGCATCCAGCTTGTATGGGCTGTAAAGAGATGACGCCAATCTTTTAATGTAGTGGGAGGGGTCGGGCAAACAGTAAGAGAATGAATTAGGGAAGCAAAGACTAAAACATAATAAAAGTAATAAAAACAACAATAATAATAATAATAAACCAATTTAGCACCAAAAGCGCTGTCCCTCTAAAATACCTGCATCCTGCTGCCAAGAGACCATCACAGGGGGCGTTTATTGTCTGAGGCCCTTGGGCAGTTGCCTTCTTTGCCCAGTTGATAATTCAGCCTGTGTCAGGAAATGTATTTAAATGTATTTAAATGTATTTAAAAACATGCTCAATCACAGGGGAGCTTCTTAAATGGCTCTTATCAATAGCAGTAGCAGCATCAGTTATTAATATTGAGTGTGTGTAGTAGTTTACATTCAGTGTGTGAGTGTCTGGGACGTACTTCACATACATTACCAGGAAACAGCCTGCAGGGAGGGAGGACTCTCGTTTCACCTGCCTCATCATTTCTCTGTCTTTCTATACATCTGTCCACTTCCTGTGCTCGCCCTCATACTTCCTGTGTGGCCTCTTCTTTGTGTGTGTAGGTGACCATCTGGGAGGCGTTGACCAACAGCAAGCCGGGAACACACAGCCTGTCCTCTGACCCAAGTCGTCTGGACAGGTGAGACTTAAAACGTCTTTGTCTCATGTGACGTTCACCTGTCTTCATCTGGACGTGTTTCGTTTTCATCCGCTCATTTTTCTTCTCCTTCATCCCGTTTGATGATCAAACCAACCAGGGGCTTCACATGATGAAAGAGACAATAGTTTAAAACATAAGAATGATTTTTATCTGGAAAAAAGTCTTTAAAAAGAGAAAAACATAAATCTTCATGAGTGTCAGGATAAAGACGATTTGAGCCTCATTGTCTCTGACATCCTCTCACTTATTGTTATTCTTCAGTGTCTTGAAACCTTCCATTGTGTTTTTGCCATCTTGTCGCTCTTTCCTTCCATCCCTGACTCACATCCTGTATTCCTGTCCTGTCCCCCCCCGACTCTAATCTCTTATCCATCCCGCTGTTCTCTCATCTGCTATCCACTGCTCAACTCCCACTGTGTGTGCTTGTTTTTCTCACCTCTTGAGGACCTTTTTCCTGAGATCAGGGATAAGGTTTTGGTTAGGCTGCACACAATGAATGGAAGTCAGTGCAGAGTCCTGTCAAGGGTAGCTGCACAAACCTGTGTGTGTATAACAGAGAGAGAGAGATAGAGAGAGAGAGAGTTTCCTGCTCTCAGTCGACAGTGTCAACATGACACTTCGTAGAAAGTCCAACATCTGGATGCTAATATTTATACTTGTTTTTAATTTAATTAATATGTGACTCTCTAGATCAGGAACAAAAATAAAACATGGTAGTTTTTCATCCGTGTCATGTTTTAGGGGTTGTGGTCAGTTAAACACTAACAACACATGTCATCTTTATCAAGATTGAGTTGCTGACATCATCACTTGTTAAACAATTAAAATAAATGTACAATTAGATCAAAATAGGAGCTTTAAATCTTAAACTTTTATCCATTTTTCACAAGCCCCTGAAACCACTTTATATAGACAATCCTGACGTTTTTCTTGTTTTAATGCAAATATTGGAAAAAGGCGTCAAGGTGTTGTTAAAAAGCTCTAAACCCAAAATACAAAACATTTAGTTTACAGCCTCCATGTTTTTCCACTTTATAACCTCCTGAGGAGCACAGTTCCCCAGTTAGATCAGGCATCAGGTATTCAAAGGCATGGAGGCAAAAAGCTAATTTAAAACACAGGAGGTGGTAATGCGTGGAAGATGCTGGAACACTTAAAGGAGAGGAGACGAGATGAGGTGTCGCAGAACAAGAGGAAACACACAGACTAAACAGGTGAAAGGAATCAAGGCGGGGCGTGAAATCACTGACGGGGAGGAAGCTGTTTTCAGACATGACCTCCGGAGAATGTCTGGACACTTTCTCCGGAGATCTGCTTTCACACTCATGAAGTTAATAAACTTGTTTTATTCCAGATGCTCTGCAGCTCCTCTCCTGACGAGGCTGAGCTGCCAGTTACCCAAAAAAGAGAAAAGGTGCCAGGTTGCAGGTTAAACTCCAGCAAAAGAATGTTCCACCACCGGGCAACCCCAAAGTTGTTCTCATCAATGGTTGATGTCGTTAGTATATGATTATTATCCAACGAATCATTAATCTTTGAGCCCATCGTCTGCTGAGGTTTTAACATAACGACCAATGTGGAGCAGATATCGTTTTTCCGTTCGTTGTTTACAGTCGGACTAGATTCTTTTATCACAAGGTCGAGCACTTCTCCACACAAAACACAAACAGTGATACCTTTTATACTCCATTGCTCGCCACAATTTGTTTATAGAGATTGATGATTAATAAACTCTGAAGCCTTTTTAAAGCACGATTTATAATGTGTTCCCATACATTTTACATAACGTCTGCAGGACGAGAAGCGTATCCACAAAGACACGTGTTCTTTCAGTCATCGATCACTTTTTAAACCTGTCTTCTTCTTTCACCTTTCCCCCACCGCAGGACCCCCCAACACAAGCCCCGCCCCCCTTCCAGCCTCTCCTCCACGCCCTCCAAGAAGCAGCCGACCAACTGCAGCTACGACGAGCAGCTGCGCATCGCCATGGAGATCTCGGCTCGAGAGCAGGAAGAGTCTGAGCTGCGGCAGCAGCGGGAGGAGCAGGAGCTGCAGCGCATCATCCGGCTGTCGCTCATGGACAAATGAGAGTCGAGTGGCCCGGAGGGGGCGGTAGGGGGTGGGGCAGCGGCAGGCGTCAGAAGGGAGGGGTCTGGAGCAAGGAATCGTGGGAGGAAAGGGCAGTATGGGCGACTTTAAATCTTTAAGCACACCTTGTAAGTGGCTGGAAACAATAAATCTTAGCAGCGTTGCAGTTCTCTCCCATCACCTCAGCCAGACCTCTCCCAGGAAGCCATACAATGACGCAGCTGTCCCAGGGCCTCAGGCAGCAAAGAGAGGGACGCCACGTTTCCTCCGTCTGGGGCCACATGGTACTTTTTGTAACCAGTGCCAGTTTACAACCAACGATACATCCAGTACAACAAGTTAAGAATGCCTCCTCGGATGAGTGAGTTCTGTTTGCAGGTCTGTGTGTGTGTTTCAAAACCAGCTCTCCGCACAGGGGTCAACAGGGACCTCACCTCTTACCCTGTAAATGTAGTGTGTTAGACCAACTCTCTGCTCCAGCACCAACACGCGCTCACTGAGTCGTGTGTTTTTAGTCCTAACTGTGACGAGTCAGGATCTGTGCTATGGAGAACACTGTCGGCTTCTTCATTTAAGGGCAGTGAAGTTGAGTTGAATGACAACTTCCTCCGTTTTTACTGAAGACGAATAAAGGACAAAAATGGACATTTCTTTTTTTTATTTGCACAAAATTCAGATGTACTGTATTTAGCTTGTGGGTGGATCACATATATGACTGTTAATGGATGTAGATGAGGAGTTTGAGCACAAAGCATAAACTCAGGCTGGATCTAGTTTCCGCCTGACGTTAGAGTTACAGGAGCACAGATATGACGAGATGTGTGTGATAACTGTTCTAGTGTGTGACTGGTCGCAGGCCTGTGTGTGTTATAAAAACAATAAAGGGACAATGCTTTGTCAGTAGATCGTGGAGTAGACGTGTTACCGAAGGAGATCCTGTATATTTGCATCTTTTCACCCGACATTCCTCTGTTTGTGTGTCGTCATGGTTACAGTGTGTGTACAATATTTCAGCATGGTCTGCACCCGTGTGAGGTTTTGTTTTTTTTGTCTGACTTCAAGTCCAGCCTGGAGACCTGCAATTTTCAATTCAATTCAAATGTATGTTGTATCGCGAACAACATACATGATCTCAAGGCACTTTTACGTAGTAAGGACGAGACCGTACAATATTATAGAGACACACAGAAGTTCACACACTGAGCAGCACTTTGGTGAGCGGACAGAAAAAACTCTTAATCTCCAACAGGACCAGACTCAGTGTGGGCGGCCATCTTCCTGGACCGGTGGGGGAGAGGGGAGAGGTGTGGGAAAAGAAGGGAGAGAAAAGAGAGAGGGAAGGTGGAAGAGAGTGAGAGGGACTGGGAACAGTTCTATAACACTTCTATCTGAGCTATGTCACACTGGTTGTTGTAATGGAAATAATCAGAGTGATATTTATAATAATAATAATAATAATTGTTGAGTAGTGTCAGATCTGGATCCTGCAGCTCTGGAGAGAGAGACAGAGAAGGAGAAAGAGAGGGGGGGGGGGGCAAAGTTATTGACATGTAGTGATATGATAAGAGATGGGGAGAGAGAGTGAGAGAGAGAGAAGTGCTCAGTGCATGATGGGAGTTCCCCAAGCAGTCTAAGCATACAGAAGCATATGTAAGGGATGGTTCAGGACTCTCCTGATCCAGCCCCAACAGGCTTTGTCAAAGAGGAACATCTTAATACTAACCCTTAATGTAGAGATGGTGTCTGCCTCCCAGTCACAGAGTGGGAGCTGGTTCCACAGGAGAGGAGCCTGCACCCCCTCCCTCCCGCTCTAATATTACACACTAATGGAACCAGAGGATATCAGCCTCCAGAGAGGTTTTACTGCAGAGTGAAAGCTCACCACAACATGCTGGGAACAAAAAGTGTAAAATCACAAAACAAAAAAAAAGCTTTGGTAAGATAATGGCTCTCACAATTGTGACTGTGTTGTTAATATTGCAGGGCTCAAGGCCGCAGAACACTGAGAAATATGTTAAGTTGCAAAAGACGGAAGGAGAGGAGCAGCTTGTTTCTGCTTCCTTTTTATATTATTTCATTGAAAGAAATGTTAAACACGTCAATATCAGCACAAACTGAGGAGAACCTCCTCTCCCTCCTCTGATATTTAAGCTTGCCTGGTTGATAAGAAAACTTTTTTTTTTTTTTACTTTTTAAAAAAAATGTTGGAGAAAGTCAGATGTTTTCATGGTGAATTCTGGGAGGAGACTTCAGATAATGATTCAAATAAAGAGACGTCTTCTGGAGCAGCAATCGAGTGGGTTACTCTTTTAAATATCAGACAGTTCTCACATGCTTTAAATCCCTTGACAACTCCTCCGAACACTGCCGCTTTCTTCCTCTTCTTACTTCTCTGGCCCTCTTCAGCTGAAGGTGACTAAAGCAATTAATATCTCAGGAGATATGAAAGCTTCAGCATCAGTCAGTGCCACAGAGGGCCGCTCTGTTTTTAGCAGCTCCTGCCTCCATCATCCTCCCTGTGACATGGATTCTCAGCCAGATCCAAGGGTTTTCTTTTCTCTCTTTTTTTTTTGGCTGTAGTTATTTTAGGCTTGACGGCGAGGAAAGGGACAGCTTAGAGATTCTAAACCCCGCTAAGAATTACAACTCACTGCACCCAGGCTGCTTTCACAGTGGGTGAGAGGGAAGTGTAAAAATGTAATGACTTTCTACGTGAATCTGCCCCTTGCTCCGACACAGTCCGACATCATGAATCACATTGAGATGGTGGAAGCACCGGGCTGCATGTGTGTCTGTGTGTGTGTGAGGGGAATCTGCAAAGAGCCACAAACATAACATGGTGAGCAAGCGTGTGTGTGTGTGTGTCAGAGACACTCAGAGCATGAGTATGCAAAGAGAATGATAATGTCAGCCATTGAACCCAGGGAAGACAAACAGTCACTCCAAACTTCTCTTCTGATTCCTCAGTTTTAACTACTGCCATGCTCATGACAGTTCAATTTGGTCATTCTTCTTTCATTCATCTGCTCAGATGTAGATTTAACTGGTGGAATCTTGAGGGAATATCAGCTTCCTTCCATTATTTCACCTTATTTATTTTTTTTTTACATTTAAACACAGAAAAATAGAAAATATGAACCTTGTGACTGTGGTGTGCGAGTGTTTTTGTTCTTTGTCGGTCACTGCTGTAATGTGATTTGTGAGAGTGTGTGTGTGTGTGAGACAGCAGGGGTGCCGGTGACCTACATCTCACTCTTTAATTATCCACATGAAACAGTAGGTAAAATGTCAGCCTGAAATAAATTGCGTTGAGCACCGTTGGAGATCATTTCCCTGAGGAGACGGGACCAACATGATCAAGGACTCAGTTACGTATTTAAAAATGACGTGTAGAATGTATTTCTGTTAAGGCAGAGGTTTAGAGGAGTGGAGGGTTTGCAGTACTATATCTGTTAACACATATTTTTACTGCATTTTACTCATTTACACACATTCTTTATTCCCTATTTATCTTTCTCTGCCGGGCCAGCAGGTGGCAGTGAAGTCAACAATACGGTTTGATATAATTAAAATGATGTTTGTGAGATGAAGCCTGCACACAATAAAAACGTCACTCTAGTAAAACAAACTCAACATATTTATTAACTGCTAAAGCGTTGAATAAAAAAACAAATATCAGCTTTGTCCTGGTTCAATTAAAAATCTGAATAAAGACGTGTCTGGCCACCGCTGGACCAGAAAACACTAGTGGGACCAGTGCAAACAAATCCTGCCCCCGGGCTAAGAAACAGATTTCAAATAAAAAGGAGTCCATTGAAAACAGTAAAGTGCATGTCTGGAGAAAAACGCCCTCTCATTGGAGGCAGCGAGGGTCACACACTGAAAACAAACGCATCTCATTTTTAAAAAAGGACACAGACATAGTGGAGTGCATTCAGCGTGCACTAAATGAGTCTTAATTTGGACATTCATATTTCATTACTGTACACACAAACCTGAAGTCCAGTTGAAACAGCACATCCAGTAGTTAACATGCAAACATACATTTATGTTCATCATTCGGTTCTTGCACACTTCATACATCGGAGGTTACACGGAGTCTACTCATTCACACACATCTTGCAGCCTCTCTCACACGTGTGCACGGCTCCAGTATGTCTGCTGCAGTCCATTGCACTGAGGTTACATAGTATTGTATAGCACAGTGATGGATCGCTGCTTTTTCTCAGCAGATGCTTTGCGAGAACGCCTCGATGAGTGTCCCCGCCCCTGCTGACGTGATGTGGCAACCGCGCCGCTCCCAATGCTGTCTGTCTCCTCCCTCTCACCCGTCTCTTCGGAGGAAACGGACATAGACCGTGGCGAGGACGAGTCATCGCGGGTCCAACCTGTCGTTTCGGCACGAGGGTTTCGAGCCAACACCTTCTGCTTCTTCCAGGAATCGTCGAGGTGAGATGGGGACGAGGAGAGAGAGTCCTGGGATTGGGTCGATGTCGTTCTGATGTGTGACCTCAGATCTAAGTCGCTGAGGTCGTTGGCTGACAGCTCCAGACAGTCCAGTTTAGCCAAGGAGGCCGACCTCTTCATGAGAGAAGGAGGGGTGAGGCCCGCCTGGCGGATGCGAGCCTCCAGCTCCATGGCCCTGTGCCACCCCGCCCGCTCCAGGAGGATCTTACCCTCGAGTCCGTTTCGGAGCCGCTGTCCTTCTTCCAGTTCTGGAGAGGTCTGTTCAGAACTCGGCTCTGTGTCCATAGCGTCTCTCTGCACCTGAGTTCGTCGCAGCTCCTGTGCTTCACTGTCCTTCGTCTCAAGGCCGACGCCCTCATGGAGGAAGGCCTGCAGCTCACTCAGTGTCTGCTGAATCCTCTCTAGCTCCTGACTGCCATGAGCCAGCCTGCTCTGGGCGTCACAGCCGGGGCCACAGCCCCCTTGGCTGCCCTGGGAATTAAACTCCAGCCTTTCATCAGTGTCTGACTCCTGCACTGTTGCCCCATCCAGAGTCATTTTCTGTGAACAGGCCTGGGGCAGGGTCGGACACTGCTGGCTTTGGCTGTGGAGCTGGCTCTGTCCTTGGGAAGGAGATGAGGTATTTAGAGATGGTTCTACTAATGGACTAGTAGAGGCCATTGATGATGTCAGCATATCTGCGGATGTGTGCACAGTGACAGGTATAGCACCGGATACTTGGCTGTTATCTGAGTTAGGGGAGCAGGGTGGGTCTGGGAGTTTGGGCATGCCTGAGGGGTCGAGTCTTTGAAGCTCGTGTTGTGACCCTGTTCGTGTCTCTGAGTCTTTGGACTTTGCAGATTCAGCCATGATCTCTCCCTGAGTTTCACTTTGTTCTGAGTGTTGAGGGGAGTGAAGGGGAGAAGGAGGAGGGTGGTCAGCGCTCGGGGAGCACAGAGACAGTCTGACAGGGGGCTGTTCGGCACTGGGAGAATGCAGCGGCGATCGCTGAGATCCCGCTATGATCTCCATTTCCTGCCTCAGCTTCTGTTCCAGCTGCTCCGTGGCCCGCCGCACCGACCCTGCTGGCCAGTCGCATGGGAGCATGGAGGGAGACTGCGGGCAGGAGGGTGGCGATGATGAGGCGTGGGGGAATTCACAGGACACTGCCTCCTCCTGAGGTTCCGGGGGAATGAGCCGAGGGCTGTGGGAGGACAGAGCGAGGGACGAAGAGGAGGTAGAGGATGGAGACGGAGGAAGGCACGACACTGGGTGGCATATGGCTTCGATCTCAGTGACAATATGGCGAACTGATATTCCGTTGTCATGGTTTGGGTGATGAGGGCTGGCACTGTCATCACTGTCTTCACACAGTGGAGATACCTGAGAGTCAGAAAGAGAGGAAAAATACTGACCGTATTAATTATATGTAATTATATATT